AATGTCTGGGGCCTTGCGACGTCTACTACAGCTGCCATGTAAATGAGCGCAAATTCGGTGTTGGATTTGTGGTGGTAGAGAGACTCCGTCGCCGAGTACTGTCGTTCACCCCGTTGGACGAGTATCTAGCCACGATCCGCATCAAAGCGAGATTCTTCAGCATCTCGCTCATCTGCGCCCATGCCCCGACGGAAGAGAAGGGCGAGGTATCCAATGATCTCTTCTTGGCGACTTCAATGCCAGGGTGGGCAAGGAAGGGATCCTTGGAACCACCGTCGGAAAATTCAGCCTCCATGACGAAACGGATTGAGGCTGATCGACTTCGCCGGGGCCCGAAACATGGTAGTATGCAGTAAAAGATCCATCAAGCTAAATGGCTGTCTTTGGATCGAGAAACGGGAATCCAAATCGATAAAAATCACGCTTCAGAACGTACCTAAATTATGGAGAGAACACTTCTCCACCCTACTGAAAGGTAGCAGCACGGAAAGAAGTGGAGAAGACGACCCCAAGCCCCCAGTGGATGATGAAGTAGACTGGAATTTAAGTGTGCTCTGCCCAATCTACAAGAAAGTCGACTACTCCATTCGCGCCAACTACCGCGTGCTCAGCCTTCTAAGCATAGGTTACAAGGTCTTATCGAGCGTATTGTGCGAAAGACTGAAGCCCACCGTCAATGAACTGATTGGGCCTTATCAGTGTGGCTTTAGGCCTGGCAAAACCAACATAGGCCAGGTCTTCACAATACGCGCACAATCTTGGAAAAGACCCGCTATAAAAGGATCGAATCTCACCACCTATATGTCGGCTTTAAAGCCGCTTTCGACAGCACTAAAAGGAGTTGCCTATACGCCGCTATGTCTGAATTCGGCATCCGCTCAAAACTCATACGGTTGTGTAAAATGACATTGAGAAATACCACCAGCTCCGTCAGAGTTCGTAAAGACCTCTCCGAGCCGTTTACCACCAAACGGGGCTTCAAACAGGGCGACTCTCTTTCATATGACTTTTTTAATCTGATGTTGGAGAAGATAATAAGAGCTGCAGAACTGAACCGCTCAGGAACAATTTACTACAAGAGCGTGCAATTTTCTGGCTTATGCCGAGGACATCGGCATCATCGGTAACAAAAACCGCGAAGTCTGTTCAGCCTTTTCCAAGTTGGATAGGGAAGCAAAGCGAATGGGTCTGGTGGTAAACGAGGACAAGACGAAGTATCTCCTGTCATCAATGACAGTTATAATTTCGAGAAAGTAAAGAATTTCGTTTACTTGGGAACCAGCATTAACACCGATAATAATATCAGCATGGAACTCCAACGCAGATTCCCTCTTGCCAACAAGTGCTACTTTGGACTGAGTAGGCAATTCAGGAGTAAAGTCCTCTCTCGACGTATGAAAACCACGCTAAGTAACTCATCATGCCCGTGCTGGAATATGGCACAGAAGCATGGAAAATGACAACATCCGATGAGGCGGCTCTTGGAGTGTTGGGGAGAAAGATTTTGCGAAAGATTTGCGGACCTTTACGCGTTGGCGACGGCAAATACCGCAGACAATGGAACGATGAGCTGTATGAGCCTTACAACGACATGGATATAGTGCAGCGAATTAATATACATTAAAAACAGAACCTGGTACGTGACGACGAACGCGCAAGACAACATGGACAACGAACCGGACCTCAGTATTAACATCGGCAAACGCAAGGACGGCCGCTGTATTGCAATGGTTTGCAGTGCGCGCTACCATTCCGAGGGACCTAGGTTCAAGCCCGGTTCAACCCAACATCAAAAAATAAAAAAAACAAAGAAAAATTTTCTAATAGCGGCCGCCCCTGTGCAGGCAATGGCAAACCTCCGAGTGTATTTCTGCCATGAAGAACAGCTTCTCATAAAAACACTATCACCGTTAAATCCGTAGGTCCCTCCCCTTTGTGCGACAACATCAAGGCGCACGCCACAAAACGGAGGAGCCCGCTCTCTAGTCCTGCGCTAGACCCATGCTAAGAAATAGGTTTGAATAGTAGGCTAGCGACAGAGGCTAAACCCACGGATGCTATCCTTTTGTTGAGGATGCAAACAACTAGCAGGACTGGCAAAGAGGAAAAGGATCTGGCCTCTTCTCTAACAAATTGAAAGTGAGAGAGGTCACCTGGATCATTGAAGCGTTTTATAGTTTAGATATACATATCGCTAGTTTAGAAAGAAAAGTTGCTAAGTCCCATTTTAAAAATTTTACAGGAGAGTAAAAAATTTTCCTATAGCCATTTTCTTTAACTATTTCGCAAGACTTTGAATCAAACATTTTGCGCGTTTAAAGCAAAGCAAAACTCCATAAGAATCAGAAGGATTCGATATTTATTAAAAGATGTCGTATTATTTTGGCCTTATCGGATTTGTGGTGCTTCTTTTGGACTTAGCAAATTTTCCTTTTATTGCTTATGAAGAGGAAAAAAATAAAACAAGTACCTTTATAATTTTCGAAACGATGCGTATTCAATTTCTCTAGCCTCCTATATCAAAATATGAGTTTTCATAAAAAATGGACTTAGCAACTTTTCACTCTAAGCTAGCGATATGTAATTGATATGGCGGCGAAGCTGGTTAGCAATGATCATCGTAACTCCATCTGAAATAGCGTCCGCTCCTATCAGGGCCCTGGGCCAGCAAAGACTAACTGCGTTCAAAAACGCCAAAGACCTCCTACAATCTTTTCGACAGCATAATATTTAATATTAATTGTGTTACGAGACACTGGATGGTAACATGGGAAATGAGGAAGTACACGAGTGCGCGATAGATTTAATGGAATCCGCGATTCCTGTCTTCACGAGTTGAGCAGATAAACAGAGGAGTTAGTTGGCCACTGCTCGATGAAACGAATGTTCGGCTTATCAGCGGAATACTACCAGGATACCGGAAATGGCCGTCTGGTCCGCATCACGATTTCTAGAGAAGCTGTTGAGATGAGGAAGAGATAGAATCCCACCAGCATTTTCTATGAGAGTGTCCCACGCTCCGAAGAAAACGCCCCAAATTTTTGGTGGACCACATCTTAGACAGCTTAGTGAAATTTCCACTAAGGAGCAAATCTCGGGAAACCCTCCTGTACGGCATCGAAGTTGACTCTTTAACCATAGTCCGTCTAACCTAACTTACAGAGCTTGAAAAACAAGAATAAAAGCTGTCCCAGCCCCACTTATCTCAAATTGCCCACCAGTATTCCGAGGAGACTTATACAGGTCTACTCTATTTATATATTAGTTGGACAATATTCTGCATGGTAGCTTAAGAAATTTTAATTAATTTAAATACCAGCAAAACATTTATTACACTGTGCTACAGCCGAAACCAGCCCGGACATTGCTATCATCCAATGCTATCCAGTAGTAAAAATTTGCGTTGGATTCGCAATAGTTAGCTCGTATTTTTATTTTATGGCCTAATAAAGTTTTCATGTGTTAGCCTAAGTAATTTTTTAAAAAGTGGAAAGAATTTTTAAAATAAATGTCCGAGCGAGATTAAAGGTAAAGACGTACATATATAGTAAAATTTCATGGAAAATATTTTCGTAGAACATTTGAACCCATTAGCTTCCGCCTGAAAGCGTAGTTTTTAACCTTTCTTCAAGATACCCCGCAAAAAGCAAATTTGGAAGGTCGTTAGAGGGTTGATATTTTGTAGATTTTTATTTTAATTTTTTAGATACTTTTACGTTTGTGGCATGAGGCTTTTGCCTCAGACGGCCTCTAGTAAAATTCTCCGAAGAATATTTTCTAGAATATATCAATCCTGTAACGAACCTCCTAATTTGCTTTGGCGGGGTTTCTTGAAGTAAGGGTCAAAACGACCCTTTCAGGCGGGAGCTAATGGGTTAAAATATTCTACGAAAATATTTCCCATGAAATTTTAATACATATGTCTTAACCTTTAATTTCGCTCAGAGATTTATTTTAACCATTTTTTCTACTTTTTTGAAAACAACTAAGGCCGGGCCATGAAAACTTTAGTAGGCCATAAAATAACAAGTAATTTTTAGCAAAAAAAAACCGACTTCATGATCCAATGATCGGATCTAAACCAGATTAGTATGGGACCACCTCTGATGCAAAAAGAATTATCGAAATCGGTTGACGTGGTCCAAAGTTGTGCGGTAGCATACATAAAAAAAAATATTCCAACGAACTGATAACCTTCTTCTTTTTTGGAAGTCGGTTAAAAAAATACTAGCAAACTTTTGTAAATCCAACGAGTGCTTTATTAATGGATATGTATACTTTCCCAATATATTAGCCAAATCCGGGCTGATTGGGATTGTCAAAAATTGTCGCACAGTATTATAAAAAATTTTTGGAAAAAAATAGCTAGCTCTTTGAGACATTTGTCCGCTACAAGTTCCCAAAGATTTTAATCAAGCTAAGAGGCCGTCCCAAGTTGTATAACCAGTCCATAGTCATAATACATAATTTTAATTTAGTCGATGCTGTTTAGGCTTTTCTTTAAAATTAAATTTTAAATAAAATTTTGAAGCTAAGCCAAATGCTGAGTGGTTCATATATATATTTTTTCACGTTTAAATCATGCTTTTAAGAGAGTTAGCTACTTTATTTAATATAGTTTTGTAACACACTTTCAATAATGCTTGAATCGAAAACGTTAGGGTAGGACACCCTAGCTAAAACACAGAAGCGATGCAAGGATACAAATCAAAAAATTTTTAAGTTCGCCAGTCACAACAAGTCACAATTTTCGGTAAAATAAAAAAATTACTTGCGATAATTTTTTGGGCACTCATTGTCACACACATACGCACAAATATTAGAAAGAAAAACTAAATTTTTTCTCTTCACTGCAACCTTCACAGCGGATGCTTGAGCAATTTCATAGCTGCAGGTTGCTGAAACTCTTTTCGAAAATTTCTTGGCGCTTTGAAATATGCAAAACTTTTTCGATAGACACGCTTACATGTTTATATGTATGAGTAGATAAGATGCTGTACCTGTTCGACCGTTACAACCGGAATGCAGTTCAGCCGCCGTCGCCATTGCCGTCGGCGGGGTTAAAGATGCCGGCGTTGGGGCCAAAACGGACGCTGGCACCGTCATTAAGGATGACGACGACGACGGGGATGACGAGCACGACGTAGATATGGATGTGGGAATCATTAGAATATGTGCGGAGGTGGCCGACGCGGAGCAGGAGGAGGGGCACGCGGGAACGGATGTTGCAAGTGTTGCACTGGAATTGACTTCGGGGCCTACCAGCACCTTTGGTTTTACGCTTGCGGCCACTGTAAAAGCCGTTGCGGATTCAACCGGTGATGCTGATGTCGATGCCGACGCTGATGCGGATGCGGATGTTGGCGGCGCTGACGCTGAAGTAGCTGCGGTTGTGGGTGTGCTGCTGTTGCTTCTATTAATTGGGGCGCATGCTGCATGCGTCGGAGAGGCAGTCAATTGTTTTTGTTGATGCTGTTGCTGTTGTTGTTGCTGTTGATGCTGATGTTGCTGTTGTCCGCAATTGCTGCTATTTAATCCAGGTGCGTTAATTGCTGACCCAACCGAATTGGGGGCATTGTTAAAGGAACGCGTGCCGCCATGATTCTGATGGTGAGGATAAAAACCAGCGCCACGACATAAATTTGTGGGCATTGGATAGAATTCAAGCATTGTCTATCGCGAATGGCAACTGTTTCTGTTTTCGATTAAGACAACGCGGCTTGTCTTCTTCTTTGTTGCTGGTTGTTTTTTGGAATCACTTTGTTCGTTTTTTGTTTCTTTGTTAATTAAACACTGCTTGGGTGCAATTGTGTTGGGTGGACGAACACTCCCCAAATCGGATTCGTACACATTTTCCACCTTCACTTGGGACACTTTAAGAACTCTCGCGTCGACATGCACTCGAGCGACACTTGCTGTGTTTTATTTATTTATTTACTTATTCTTCTTTTTTACTTTAAAGCACACTTTAGCTATTTATGTATGTACTTATGTTTTGTGTATGTATTTAAGTATTTCGATATTTCGATATTTCACTCCTCTCGGATGCACAACCGTCAACGTCCGCTGTCAGTTCACATGTGAATTGGCAGACGGTGAAATCATAACATTTCACTGCCAAACCAGAGACTGGCTGACTCTCTTTCGCCACCCGTTGGCGTGTTGTCAGCACTGAGTATTCCGCACAATGCAGCATGCGAAAAATGTTAGTGGAGCAACCCTTCGAATGCGCTTCAAAAATGTTTACAAAGCAATGGCCCGTACTCGTTCGTTCAACAACAATATTTCCACCACAACAATAACACGTGAACACTGCTGGAGCAACCACCATTGACCCGTACAGGGCTGCCGCACGTTTTCCAGATTACTGGTTGTTGCCCTTATAAAGGGTTGGCAGCAGCTTCGATGCCGAATGTGCAGAAATCAGTATATCAAAGCAAAATCGGCAATGACTTACTCGACATTACGAATATGTTAATTTAAATAAAACCTTTAATGGTTTAATTAAAGGCTCTTAAGAAAGATGCTCTGAAGCAACATTTCTCACTTAGTGCCACTTGGTATTGAAATTTATTTGGTATTCAAAAAAAGAAAAACATACATATATGATGGCCTTTCACTCAATTTTGTTGGCGGTTTTGTAGGTAGAATTATGAAAAATTTTAATTTGTATTCTTTTAAAAGTTGCCGCAGTTTCCAGTCTTCCATTTATTCTTATAAATAGCACGAGATTTATCTTGGAATAAACTTTTCTTTTAAAGGCGTGACTAACCGAGAGTTTCAAGGTGTTAGAAAATGTTCAAAGTTTTATGTGTTAGACGCTATTTACACGATGAATTTTCACCCTGCGTTTTTTTGTCTTTCTCTTTGAAAAAGTCTTTTAAAATCTTCGTGCGTTTACACGATGAGTTTTTGTTTGCGGCGTTCCTTACGTGCTTTAGCGGTTAATTTCCTTTGATCAATTCTTCCGTACACATTTTTAAAGCTGAGCGAATCTCGAACACAAAGTAAATACACGGAATGGGAATTCGATAAAAGCGAAATGTCAAAAACCCCTCGATTCTCGCTCTCGTGTAAATGCCGTCTTACTCAAACAGGCCTACAAGTTGTACTAAACCCTGCCTAGATTCGGATAATCCTTTAATCGTCGCGGTCAACCTTAACTAACGGTAGGCCTTGGAAACATGCCGTCCCCACGGTGTCGGACCAGATCGAGAGGGGTGTCAGTTGAGTGGGGTTGATTAGCATATGAGGAGGTGGTTGATATCATGTGGGGTAGCTTAACATGCCGGACTTGTGTACATTAGTTATGTCGAGGTCTAGTCTGGGACCGCTGGTCTCGCTCGCCGTTTGGCGCGATCTGTCCGTAGCTTCGGAATCCCTTCGTCTGAAAATTCAGTGCACATTTTCTAAAATTTCATATAACACCAATCTATGTTTTAGATATCTAAGCGAGTAAATAAGAACTGCACACTCGGCAATACTGGTTAACCAATGTGATAACAACAACTTTATAGGGGTTGTAATTTTAATCCTCACATCGCGCATGTCCTACTGATTATTACTCAAACGCCGCGGCAAACGCCGTCAACCCTCATCTTCTGCTGAGTGCATGCAAAATATTCCCTCCGTTTGAGCGTGTGCATGTGTTTGTGTGGTTGTTGTGGCGCAGGAAATTACTCATGCACGGTTTAATTTGCCTTGTGTGTAAATGGAGAGGAGGTCACATCCCACATGGGCGCTGATTGGCTGAAGCTTCTCTATGTTGCGATACATTTCAACCATGGCAGAGAGAGAGAGAGAGAGAGCAGAGAACCGACAGTGTCGACAACTACGGGGAAATTTTGGGGCGCTTTTATCATCGGAACTTCCAAGAGGGGAACATTTCTGTAAAGTTGGCATAAATTCAAGCAAAGGCCGTTTTCAGTTTTTTTCTTTGCGCATTTTTTTCTCGCCTCAAAAAACCTCGTGGTACTTTTCTTTCTGTGCAGTGACTGCATTGGCGAGTGTTGAGAGGGACTGCGAGGGCTGTGCCAAAGGGAAAGGGTGGCAGGGGCGCCTCTGAGTCGTGGAGGGAAGGGCAAAGATGTAAAACGCAAACAAAAAAAAAAATTATGGAAAGAAGGCAGACTTTCTCGCTAACTTGGAAACAAAGTGGACGACACTTTCTTTAGAAAAGAAAAAATGGTGGCCTTGTTTTTGTTCTTTCTTGCCAACGTTGTGTTGTTCTTGTTCAATTGTTATTCGTTTTTTTTTTCCTGTGGTTGCAAAAGCAGAACATAAATAGCACAGAAATATGCTGTAGAGAGTGGTGGTAATACAGGGTATAGGGAAAAGTTGACGGCAGTAAAATTTTGGAAATTTAAAATCAGCAACTATCTTAGCAGAATGTTTGTAATTTATTGTGCACATACATATGCAATTTCTGAAATCAATCTTTACATTGTCCATAGAGAAAATTAAAAATTTTTTTTTCCTTATAGAAACCGGAAGCGGCAGACATATCACCCAATATTTTGTTTCCGTTCCAGGCAGCAGCACCCTTTTTTCGAGCTTTTCGCTTGAACGACTACAACCATAGCAACAACAACAACAACAACAAAAGCAACGAGTCTACTAAGAAGGCCAAACCAAATATGGCGTTACTACGGGTACGAAAGTTGATTTCTTCCATGTCCCTTTGTTCCCATTTTGTTTGGCTTGGCTTTTGCCTTTATGAATGCTGGTACCATGTCTCCTTCACCGCTACTTCTCTGACTTTATTCTTTTATGGATCAGTTGATGCGTGGAAATATTTATTTTAGCCGTTTGCCTTTGTTTTTACTTTTGCTATTTTTAAGACGAACATTACATTTTGTCAGTGTGTGTGTGCGTGTGTGTGTATGAGTGTTTGTTTGTGCAAAGGAAGGATATGCATCGATGTGCTTTAGGATTTTAAGAACATTGTCAGTGTTCCCATTGCAACCATTTCTAACCATTTCTAACCAGACAACCATTTATTTGAGAGCACGATTTCAATTGGTTTCTGAAGTGTTTGCTGTGTTGTACTAAATGGCGCTGAAGATGCGCTGCCGCCGGAGTGATATGCTGTTGCTTGGGGACACAAGCAAAACATTACAGCAGCACAAAATTTTTTATAAGTATGAATGCACATACCCCAATACATCAAATATAGTTTACATTTAATAATACGCTTGTGCTTTAAGCTGCCTTTACACGGGTCGATTTTCTAGTCGATTTTTGTCGTTCATCTACAATCAACTAGTGTAAATGGTAATTCAACCGTAAAATGTACGGGTTTAGGCTGGTCGATTTCTCAGTCGAATTTCCAGTCGACAGAAATCGACTCGTTTAAAGGCAGCCTTAATCAGAGTAAACTTTTTTTTACTTAAAAAAAATTTCAAACAGCACTCTGTACAAGGATTTATGAAAGTTGCTTCGATCGGACGGAATCGGTTTAAGGGTGTATTAAAGTCAATAGCGTCTGTTCACCATTAAAAAAAAAAAATCACAAAAAATAGCGTAAAAGCGTTGGCTTTGGAGAGAGTTGGTCATCTTTCTGTTTTCCCAGCAAACAATTAGGTTTGATATACATTTTAGAATGATTTAAAATCAAAGCCCTTTCTCAAATGTCAAACGTTTGAAACGTATTTGATATTGACTTGAAAGTTACAGCTTTCTCGATAAAATGAAGAGTTTGATCTCCATTTGAGAATATGGTTAACTCTCAAATCAATTTCAAAGGTTATTTATCAATTGTATTTCAAATGTGAAAATAAAATTTATTATAGGAAATGTATATTTCGTATTTATTTTTTTCGTCACGATGTACATTAGGGTTGTCCAAAAATGTATGTGAAAAGTAAAGTCGGAATTTTTATGCTCTCAACCGATAGGATTCTTCAATACCGAAAAAAATATAGACCAAAGTTTTCCATGTATTTTATATGCGTAAAAGGCCACTTTTCCTAGAAATCGTATAGAATTCTTAAAAATCAATATTTTTCTATCGGAAAACTCTGTTTCTCTGCAGGAGGTTCCCAATAATCGTACCCAATTATCTATTTAACCATTTTTTCATCGCAAATATACTTTATAGGTCCGCCAAAAATCCATAAAAAACCCGAAAAATGCAATGGGGGACCAATAAAAAATCTTTAGTATTTTTCGATACATTTTCATGCAAATTTTCATCTATTAATCAGATTTTTTGGAGTTTTCTTGAGTATGCAGTTTTGTAGCCCAATAAATTCTAGTATAAAAATGCAAGTTCGGAGTTAGTCAAAAACCTCATTAATTTTTGAGATTTTTTTTTTTTTGTTGAAGGTGTTTTGCATTTTTTCCATATAAAGTATTTTCGAAATTTTTTTTGTATGGAAGAGACTGCGTGAAAAAAAAAATTGCCAAAAGAACTTGCACTTTATTATAATTAAAAAGTGAAAATTTGTATGAAAATTTGATGAATTTTCGCGAGTTTTGCACAAAGTTTAGAAATTATATTTTTTATGTTTTTTGTATTTTATAAAAAATTGGCGGAAAAATCTTATTATAAAAATTGTTGCATAAAATTGTTGTGAAAAATTTGCTTATATCGAGCCCTAACCGCCAAAATAACGTAAGCGACATTTTTAAAAAATTTTCGTTTTGATGCAGAAATGCACCTAGATGCTTTAGGAATATTTCTGCATCAAAAAAAAAAGTTTTGCAAAAAATGTCGCTTTCGTTATTATGGCAGTTAGGGCCCATATGGTTTTGATTATAGCACGAACAATATACGTCTGCTAGGCGGCGAACTTCGTACCGCCCAAAATTTTTATTTTTTTTGTCGAAACACTTTGGTCCATCATTTTCACCAACAATTCACGTTCATGAATATTAGCGTTTGGTGGTCGTCGGAAGGCATACGTCTTAAATAGCCTAACGAAAGTGTGATATCCGCGCATAAGTTCTTGGAAGGTAACCAATTATCTGTCGTTTCACGGCACGGTTGATCGAATAAAAAATAAATTTGACGAACTTTTTCCTTTTCCTTCCATGGCGCTAACAATTTTCCGCTTCGA